TTTTAATTTTTCAAATTATAATCAAATTATAATTTTTATTGTACTAATTAATGCAGTTAATTATTTCTTTAAAAAAATTAAGAAGTACTATTTATATCGAAAAATCTTTAATTTAAGAGATATTATAATTTATAATTCAAAAAACGAAAGACAAGAAACATGCGAAATGATAGTATGTTCATGCATTCCTTGTTATTCATATATAGTCGAAACTTTTATGAATTTCAAATTACAATATTTCCTAAACTAAAGATTTTTTCACATATATAGCTTAATAGCCTTTTTTGTAAAAAATAATCAATTGTATCGCAATAAAAATAATATAGTTTCGTTTAAAAAATTAAAATTGATCTTCATATGATGTCTGTTCATCATTATCTATAGAAAAATAATTAATTGCATAATATTAATAATATCTATTTATACTATAATATAACAATTTTTGTTTCAAACATTTTTTCGTATCATTCATATTTTTTCGATATATTTTGCTATTCATAGATAAACCGAACACACTATGTAACAAATTATTGTCGAATTATAACTATAAATATTGTCTTGGCGAACAACTTGATGATCGATTTTGCGTAAGATTCTACATAAGAGTGATTCGAATAGAGCTAAAAGGTAACGGGGAGCGAACAGGTGAGGCAGGTAGTAGGGCAGGCCGGGTCACTGAAGACGGCTATTCAAGACGAACGAAATTCTACGAAATTGGTAAACTCGTCAAATCGAGTTTAACCAATGAATGAAATACTAGTCTCCAGAAAAGAATCCGCTCGATCGGCTGCGTTCCAACGGTGTTCGATTTAATGACACTAGTTCGATCATGCAGGCATGCCATAATACGAGAAACGAATTAATTGAATTTTAGTTGAATTTTTATTTTTCATTTATTTGGCATTGTAACATTGACAATAGTATTGCAATAGAATTTCGCATCATTTGCAATCGTATTTTTATTGATTCAGAGAAATGAAAGTGAAAAAATTTAAATTGTTAACTTAGGATTGATTTTGGATTTAAGATTGGTGGTCATCATTGAAATTATTTTTCAGATAATGGATTTTTTATCTAGAACTTTAAATTATTCATAATTGTATCTTTTTTTATGTTTATCTAGTTAGGTTAGATTAAATATACTTTCTGTAACATTTTCTAATTTCTTCTTTTGAGCTTTGAGTTAAAGAAATTTGAAATGAATTTGAAATTAATTTAGAATTTAGAATTTTAATTTTGAATTTATTTTTATTTATTAACATTTATAACATTGGAAATTCTTTTTTTTTTTAGTATTTTTTAAAATCATTATTAAATAGGATTTGCTCTATTTTGAAAATAATTTTACAAATTGACAAAAATACTATTTTCCTTTCTTCCATGCGATTTTTAAAAAATTGAAGTTAAAGCATCTCAATTTTTTTCATAGCAAAATATAATATATCAATTGATAATTAAAGAATATAATTAAAAAAATTAATTTAATTTGTATTTTGAATTTAATCAATTATATACTTTTATTTAAAAAACAGAATCTTATTTGAAATATTTTTTGAATAAACAAATAATTCGGTTTTAGAGAAATAATAATACATAATTGTATTTATAGGGAATAATATAAAATAGATTACTTTATATAATAATATAATCAAATCGATCAAACTCGCGCGAAACTCAGTGCGCATAAAATAAATTTAAAAATTTAAAATCAGTGTGCACGTGGCACGAGTCGAGACGAAAGGGGAAACATTCTCGCGAGAAGAAGAAAGGAGTCGGTCAGATAACTGTACGTCGCGGCCTCTGAACGACATCTTCAGCATCGTCGAAGAAACTTCTTCTCTCATTCCCATACGTACACCTTATTCAATGTTTCTCAATTCGATCTCCGTCTTCATTCCACGCATGCAATAATCTAGACTTTGTCTCCTCGCTAGTTTACTTATTTTGCGAAGAAGAATCCGAGATCCTACTTTAAAACGATTCGTGGTACACTTTGTCGTCGTTGAATTCTGAAGAATGAAACCTGAATGGCGTTAAGCTGACATTGCATCATTATTCATGATTTATGAGATATTTATGAGATATGTAGTTTTTTGTTATGTTTCATTATAATCGGATATAAAAAATGAAAATGGAAGAAGAAGATAACATTACAAAATGATGTCATTAAAATTTTATTTATGTGATTTATGTATTTGATGATTTATGTACTTAATTATCTGACTGAAAATATTTGTTGTATGCTTTGCATATATTTTATATTTCGTATATATTTCTAGAATATTTCATGTATAGTAGCTACAAAATATTTACACATATTCTTATTTCATAATGAAATATTTTTTCATCATTTTTTTTTTTCATAATATAAAATAGTTCTATTAACTATTAAAGTATCATTAAAAATATAAAATAAATAAAATAAGTACTATTAAATGAAATAAANATGTAAATAATATATAAAAAAAATATATAAATATGTATAATTTCATATGACGTAAATAATTTATAATTTCAAAATAAGATATGTGTAAAACAATTTTTTCTATAACAGCATAAATATCAATTAACATTAATTTCAATACAAAGTAATAGAAAAACAAGTAATTTAGATATAGTATAATTTAATTATATTAGAAAAAAATAACTTTTGTGATTATTAACTTTTAACTAAGTTATAATTATTATAACTTCTGTGATAATTATTAGAATTATTAATAGAATTAATTATAGAATTAAAATATGAATTAAAATAAATGATCTATAATGATTCTATTTATTGAACAAAAATTTTATTTATTATTATTATTTGAATAATAAACTCATATCAATTAAATTTATTTACTTAAATGTAAATTATTTGAATGAAAAACACAGATTGTCAAATTTTTTAGAAAATTTTGTCAGTATATTCTTTAATTAAAAATAAGAAAAATATATTATAATAATATGTATATGTGTAATAAACATATGCTTATATAGATTTTATTTATAAATTATAATAAAAATGAAATTACAAGAAATTAATTTCTTGTTTAATATTATATAGAAATAAATTTTTTAATTTATTTTATATTATTTATTATTTATTATTTTATATATTATTAAACTAATTTATGCAAAAATAGATTTTTATAAATATATTTAAATTATATTCTATTCTGGATTTTTTGTTCTATATCATGCACATTTTATTAATTTTTGTTTATACATTTTTCAAAATTTTTATCGTAAATTATGTATAATAATTTAAGTAAATATAATGTTTCTGTAAATATATAAAATAGATAGCAGTGTTCATTCCAATATTATATAGTTATCCAATGAAAACGAATTTTTAATCATTTTGTATATTTTTATAATTTGTTAATACAATGATTATGAATTTATATATAATAATAATATAATTCTTTTTTCTTTTATTTATATAGAATACAGAATGTTTCATTTTGATTTCTTAATTTTCTCTTCTTTATTATTACTTTATTCAATTTTTATTATTAATACTTTTTAATGAAAATTGAATGTAAAGAAAAGCATATTTTATTATTAATTTATTAATTTTTAATAAATATGTTAATTCTTTCGTGAGAGAACATGTGAAAATTGAAAAATCAACTTTTTATTTAAAATGGTGTTAAATATTTTTTGTATTACAATATATTAGTATTACAATATATGTAATATACATAGTATTACAATATTTTTTATAAACACTTTATTCTTTATAAAAAAATAGTAACTCATATATGCCTAAAAATTATTAATTTATAGTATAGTAGATAGTTCAAGTAAAGTAGTTGAATTTTGTAAAATTATTATGAAAACATGAACAAATTATTATGTTTATGTATTTCTTATTATATATTCTCTCATATAATAAATTTTATAAAATTCAAATATTAAAATATTTATAGGATATTTTGTATATTTAGAAATACATATTACATCAATAAATTAGTTGAATTGTTTGCAAAGTTTAAATAAACATATTTCTATATAATATATTTTCTATATATTCTTTGCATATATATATATATATATATATATGTACTTTCATATAAAAAATGGAGTTTAACAGTAGATGAATAAAACTGATTTTTATTAGAAATATAAATAAATTTATTGAAAAATATAGAATATAGAATAAAATATATAAAATAATTATGACCTTCAATGTTTTATTTTGCAAATCATATTATGTTGTAGAGCAATTAGCATCTACGTTAGTTGTATTGCTTAGAGCTATTATGAATTATATTTATTTATGTTAATTATATTGCTTAAAGCTATTCGTTTTTATAATATGTTTTTATAATTTTTACGCATTACTATGAATTATTAAACGAGATTTTTTATTAAAGAAAATAATATTTTTCAGAATATCTTTTTATAATAATCATTCATTTCTATGTATTTGTTATATCGATATTATATCGATCTTCGAGAATATTCCTTCACCACATATTACTTCTTTTATGTGAAATGTTAAATATTCTTGATCGGTATTAAATATATAAATTTTTTGTAGAATTATATATGAACAAATTGTTTTTTTATATATAATAATAGAAAATTTTCATCATTGTTAAAAGATTAAAAAATAAAATTCTTTAGTGTCATTGAAATATTATAAAAATAATTATCATTAAAATATATATGATATATATTATAAAGGTAAATGTAGTATAATTTTTCATAATAATCATATGAATTCCCATCACTGAAATTTATATATTAAAATGATAAAAAAATATAAAAACTTTTTTTATCATTAAAACACTATTATTAAATATAAATTATTATAAAATTTCCTAAGAAAAGAATGATAGAAAAAAAAATAATCGAATTTAAAATAATATAATAACATATAATAATGATATAAAATTACATAAAAATTTTAATAATATCCACACTCTTTCATATTTAAAAAAAAATTTTAAAAGTATATAAATAATATAATATATGAATATATTGAAAATATATTTTTTTGTTTGCAGATAATGGATCGTTAACAGAAGTCAGACCAGATAGGATAGAGAGAGATCTGCAAGGTAAGTCTTCCATCCTTTGAAATTGTGACTATCTGCATTTAATTTTTACTTATTTCCTTTGGAATTCCTCTCGAATATGATTTTATTTTCTTCTTCATCAAGATAATTTAATATTTCGTTAGCTTTGTTATATCTTTCATTATAAGAATTAATATTATCATTTTCGAGTGTAATTCTATCGACAACATTTTTCTCTTTCGCTTTCTTCTCTTGTCTCCGCTGTCTGACCTTTCTCTTCTCGCAGTTAAAACCGATCGTTCTGTCTCTAAAAACCTGCATTGTGCGTGTCGACGCGAGGTGCGGCCGTGTACATAATCAGATGTTATATTTATTTTGAAATACGTATATGTTTCTTATATTTATGTTGTTTCTTTATTTTTATTTTATTTTTTATTTTATTTCTTATTCTTCGAATACTATTTTATTTTTTCTATTTTATTTGTTCGTGTCACTTTGCATTATTAATTTTCCATGGGTAAATGGGTTCGAAATTGTTGACCAATGACTTACAGTAAATACGAAGTCTCGAGAGATTTGATTAATCAATTTGATAAAAATGGAATAGGATGAATAAATTTAATACAATTTGACAATATGCAAAACGAAATGGAAAAGTAAGAATTAAATGAAGAATGAATAATGGTATGTTTATAACTGAATATATGAAGGCAATTTATTTATGGGAATCAATACGAATAAATTCATTATTGAAATTAACAATTCTAAGTTTACTTGTTAAGTTTACGATCTAAGCAATGGTGTAAAGAGTCAGTCATTTTTTTTTTTTCAAAAGAGAATTTATGATATTTAAGACCATGAATAACTTAATATACTTAATAATACTTAATATTTGAAAAGATTAAGTTTATAGTCATATATAAGATATTAATATTGTCATGAGACATGTTTGAAAGATGGATTGTAGAAGCTGAGATAAAAGTTAATATACAAAAATATCAATTGAGATATTTATCTTATTTAATAAGTTATAAACAATTCAAATTTTTACTTTATCTAATTAAATTGAATTACTTATAATTTAATAAATAAGTCTCAATTTTATACCAACTTTTATGTTTATTTCAGCTGTTAGAATCGACTATGTAAAATGTTCAATGAATATATTACAATATATTCATATGTTGCAATTACATTCAATATATTACAATTTTTTTCACCTTTCTTCTCTTTGCGCTCTGAAATTAACTTACTTATATAAGAAGAAATTGTTAATATATTTATATATAACAATAAAAAATATTAAATATTGTTACATAACTTCATATAACATTTCGTATAAAAATAATTTTAAATTAAATTAATAGCAGCAACTTTATTAAAAATTTTATAATCGCATTAAAAAAAATCATTATTATTATTATTAATATCTACAGATAGAATTTTTCATAACTTTCATATCTATTCGTCACAGATAAATAACATAAATCTTTCAAAAGATAATATTCTAATTCAAATTCAAATGTTATCGAAATATAAATATTAAATCTAGAATTTTTTTAAATTGCCCTTATAAATTTTGAATAAATTAAAAAAGTTTCCATTTCATCATAATAAGCAAAATTCTGGAACGAATTCTCAGGTCTCTCGAGCTGTAAATATTATACTACATATACATAATATATATATAATATATTCGATGATTTTTTTTAATGTCTGGGCGTCTTCTATTGTCTATATTTTCCCGCGCACGTTTCACGTAGTCCCGTTTTCGGTGGCATGGTACGGAACGACGACCATTCTGGGCTCGTAAACATGTAACAATCGAAAATCGATATTCGTGGGTATAGAATACTATACATAATAATAAAACGGGGACGTAGCAGATTGCTCTCTATAAGCTATAATATATAACAGGATGACTTGTCCACTAAGATCGTCTGTCTCTTTTTTTCTGTTTCTGTTACTGCTCCCGCCTGCTCCTCGCCTACAACTCTTCTCAACAACTGGATGCCGTCTGCCTCCAACGTCCGCCCGCCACTCCGTCTCTCCGACGACCTACATTATCTAATGCAAATATCAAATCAAACAAACAAACCGGGGAAAAAATAATATACATGTGTACATTTTTATAAAAAAAATGAAAAATCGATCGATGGCTGAAACCGATACTGACGATTTTGACTGTTCAATGACTTAATAATAACCATATACGACTTGGACGATCTCTTTATTTTTTATAACGAACACTATTAATGCAAATTCATATAACGCTCATCACGTGCTCTCCGTGCGGCGATTATCCCTTGGTGCTTTTGAATGATCCTGAACTATCTCTTGATGTTCCATACTTGATGATCGTCTCCAGGTGTAACCACGGTCCTCCTAGTCTCGGCACGACCCGGCAAATCTATTCCTCCGGTCGGTTTGTTAACGAAAACCGCGCGAACTTTCGTCCAAGATGGCGCCAGTACGGAATTCGCCACTCAGATACTCGGTACCACATTGGATAATGGTCGTGTATATGCCAAAATATTGGCCACATCTAGTAGGGTATTCTATGATAAAGAATCTACGCCAGATTCTCCTACGCCATATGTAGTTTATCCTTCGAGAACTATCGATGATTGGCAACTCAAGATGGCCCTTGATAACGCACCCATTAAAGCTTTAAAGGATATCGAACATTCTGGGTTAGAAGAAGATTCTGATAGTCAGAGTGGGGAAAAGTCTTCGATGAAGTTGGATGAATTATCTAGAGAGAATGATATATTTAGTAGGAGAGAAATGGGATCAGATTCACAAAGATTTAAACCTGCAAAGATCAGACCTGCTGACAATCTTCCGACTTATACAGTGACGCACGAATACGTAACCAATAATTTCGATAATCTCGAAGAGGATCAGCCAAAAAATTTTAGACCCAGATTACCCAAAATTTTCAAGCCTCAAGCCAAAGCTCCCGTGCAGAGGAAATTGGACTTAAAACCTCTAGCAACCGTAACGTATCATGGATTTGCCGAGTTCACCACTACCGTTGGTGAAACGGTTATAGTTTTCTCACCAAGTACGTCACCAGCGCCTATTGGTCGTCCAGCTACTACAATTAAAGGTGATGCGACTTTAAGACCTGACGATGGAATTGCGATTGTAAAGATCAGACCTACTAGCGTAATTATTGGCCAAGAAAAGACTAAACAACATTCTGGACGTACGTCTGACACGCATAGTGAAACGGGTGATCCTCTATTGGATGCTATCAATAGAGCCAATATTCAACCTAGTGTTACAGAAGAATTCGAAGAATCTTCAACGACGTCCACGGAACCTCTTCTTCTGATACCAGATATTGAAACTGATTCAGTGAAGCCAACAGGACTTTTGAAAGTCTTAGATTCTACTACTTCTCAGGATGGTACCACTACTCATTACAAGAGTCTGATCTACGGTACTTATATTGGTACGAATTACGCTCAAATTATCCATACCTCATCGAATGTATACTTTTTCCCTGATGAAACCACTGCTATTTATGATACCGAGGATACTATTATGGATTATGGAACAACTGCTACTGAATCTGATGAAGAACAAGACACCACATTGCAAATGACAACAGGCACCACGCCGAGAATAATCACTACTAGTGAGGAAGTTCCACCAGAGATGAATGAATTGACTACTCCATTCAAAGATACCACTGATTCTGCATTAACAACATTGAAAGATATTCTGGAGAGCGCACGAAGAGTAGTGCTTGGTACCACAGAATCGATTGCTCCAATCTTAGATGATGAGATCCTTAATGATATAGTTCCTGGAGATCCTCAGGGTCGTAGTATCAAAGGTGGTAGCTCGAAGAACAATCTTGAACAGGATCACAAAGGACACGGGTTCATTGAACAAGAAGAAAAAATCTCTTTAGCTACCAGACTCCTTCCTTCCACAATGTACAAAACATTTACCTATTACACCACTTTTTTCATTCCTAATGGCGATCAGACTACGACTTCTATTCGTTCCAGAGAAGTTGTGTCTTCAGATATTACTTATTTGACGGAGCTTATTCTACCAAGTGAAACAATATCTTCCATTGTTCCTACGGCCGTTACTGAACCTATATTGACTAAAACCACTCCTGATAGTCAAGCAATTGAAGAGGAACAGACCACTAAACAGGACGAAGAGATAGAATTGATCTTTAAGACTCTATATACCACGTATACGTATTTAACTACCTTCTTCCAGGAAAGTACTTCCAGCATCTCCAGTCGTGAAGTCATAGAAACGAATGTGATCACTCAGACTGTTGGTCCAAATGGAGTGTCTGCGGTAGTTGCAGGATTGTTTGAGAAAGATGAATCTACCTTAATATTGCCAACGAAAATTTCGGACAGTGTTTTGTCTTCAACGACTCTTGAACGTGAGGAAGAGACTGAAAGATATCCAACAACTTTAGAACAAACAACAGAGGATACTCTTACAACATTGCAAGAACAAGATATCATTACTGATCAGAATATTCCAACAGAATCGGGAATAATTATTGAAAAAGAAGAAGTTGAAGATACAAAACAAACAATTCCTGAAATCGAACCCAGTCCAACTCCAATTTTACCGACTGAAGAAATGAGGAAACAGATCAAGACTTATTACACAACATACACGTATTATACTACAATATTTGTTGACGACGAAACAGAAGTAGAAACAAGAACAGAAATATTCACCAATGTAGTAACAGAAACTATTCAGCCAACCGCTGTAATACCACTTGTCCAAGAAACTGAGAAACCATCAACAGAGGAGCCAATCAAAAAACCTCCTCCTGAAATCTTGGCATATTTGGAAGCTATTCAAAGGCAAAAATCACAAGAAGAAGCGTTTCTTCTTGCCAAAAAAGTTCAACAACACGGGACCACTAATAACGAAGAGAGTACGATTGTATCTGAGGCTAAAGCAGAGACTACAACAGAATATCCAAGTACTTTTGAAGAACAACCAATTACAGAAAATTTATTTCGAGGTTTCGAAGTAAATGCACAAGTGACACCAAATCCACCAGTCGAAGGAGAAGTTTTAGGATCTATGATTACTGACGTGGTATCATCTTCCAGTTCTGGAGGAGGTACAGTATTAGACGTGATGGATAAGAGAAACGCGGTTCCCGAGGATCAAGAACTCTCAGAATCGAATCATCATGAGGTAGAGCCAGTACCGACACTTTTGCTTCAGACGAGTTACACTACCTTCACTTATTTCACAACAATGTACAAAGGTGATGAATCAAATGTGGTGAGTCGATTAGAAACCGTTACCAATGTGGTAACTGAAACTATCAGGCCAACAGCAGTAGTACCCATGGAGACGAGTACTTTACCAGTTACATACTTCACGACATTCACTTATTGGACAACGTTCTACAAAGATGGCGATACTATTACTACTAGTCGTGAAGAAACTGTCAGCAATGTTATTACTCCAGGAGTGTCACCTACTCCTACTGTGGAATTAGGTGTAATCATAACTTATACACCAACGATGTTGTACATTGAGGATAGTAGTGATAGTCTAATCAACGAAAATGAATCCAAAATCACTGCTGATAACGAAGTGACACCTTCAGCTGCTATTTCTATTGAAAATTCCAAGAAGGAAAAATTAGACACTACAACTTCTAAAAACATTATTTCGCCATCTTTCGAAAATACTGTAGAATCCACAACGATTTCACCTGAACCTACCACATATTATACTACTTATACTTATTACACAACCTCGTATATTGGCAACGAAACGATTATGAACAGCAGACTGGAGACTGTCACAAGTGTCTCCATACCTGAAGTTATTGTCACTCAACAACAGGCAACCGGCAGGGCAATTGATAGACCAGTATTCAAACAAACTATAGCAACTGAAGAGAAATCGATTACACTCTCAAAAACTAGCGAACTTCCAAAGATTGGATTAATCTCAACGATCAGATCTAGCCAAGTTAACGATGGTACTACCACTCATTATATGACGGACATTCATGGCACATATATCGATGGATTATACGCTCAAATTGTGGAAAGTTCAACAAAAATAGAGACACCACCTTTACCATCATCTGTAACCACTCCAGTCTTGCTAACAGGTATTTTATCAATGAATAAAGGTACCGTGATAGATGCTGATGAAATCACTACGATTTACTTTACCACGAAACAAATTGGAACATTATTAGATGGTCTGTATGCAAAAGTCATCGAAAGTACTTCGAGTACAAAAATAAACGAGGAGAGAAAAGCAACTATTTTACCTACTCATGGTCACAGAACTGGTTTAGTAAGGTTAATTCAAGGACAAATCGAAAATAATGGAACTACCACATTCTATCAATCAAAAGTGATTGGAACCAGTATTGAGGGTAGATACGCTCAGATCATAGAGAGTACTTCTAGCTTCTTTTCTGCCACTCCAACAGAAAATATTTTACCTACTTCGACCTTACCACCTACCAAGCCTACTGAGATCCCGGAGATCTCACCTTCGCCTGCAGTGATTCAATCGTCTCTATCAGAAGAACATACAACAGAATCTCCAGATCAAGACGAAGATTCAGAACAGAACGAGGAAAGTGAAGAAGAAGATGAAGAAGGGGAAGATGGACAGAGTTCTAAGAAAAAGTCCAGATTGACCTTTTCTACTAGAAAAAGAACGTTCACTCCGGTAATCAGACCATTTGCATCTAGAAACAGACCTACGTTTAATCCGAAACGGAAAGGTGCTCAAGGTGCAACAACTATTACTAGAACAGACATAACACCTACGATAACCGCAACATTAGCTGGAAAAGGAAATAGATTCGCTTCATCTAGAGGTCGAGTTAGTTCTCCGATAGGTCCATATTCCTCTACTTTGTCTCCATCTGGTTCCAGAAGATTTGCTGGAAGAAGAGGTTCTCCAAACACAGCCAGTTCATACTCTTCGACCATAAGCGGAAGTACTAGAGGTAGGCCTCAGTCCAGAATATCTCCATCCTCGGTCTTTCAAGGTAATAGACGAGGATCGACATCCATTAGAGGATCATCTGCTAGACCTGCATCTCGTGGTTCGAGTTCTGCTTTTCCTGGAGCTTCCACCAGATATAGGTCACCGATTAGACCGTCATCTACTTTATTAAGAGGTCAATCAACGGTTAAACATGATGATCAAGAGAACGATGCTAACGAATTCACAACGACTACTTTGATTACTGAGGAAACTCCTTATACCGATGATGCGGAAGATGGTGAAACTGTGACAACGCCTCTGCAGACGACTACAGAATCATCGAGAAAATCCACAAATCCCTTACTAAGATTCCGTAGGCCAATTGCTTTGAATAATTCTGGAAGAACTGGTACAACGCCTAAACCACCAACGACTACAAGAAGAAACGGAAATTTGAATAGACCAACTTCACCGACTATTCCTAAAGTGACTAATACTAGAACCAATGGAAGAAACACTCCAATATCGACGAGATCAAGGCAAAGTAATACTGGATTGTTTCCGCCTCGAGGCCTATTTGGAAAAAAACAGGAATTACCCGAGGAACAGATAGAGCCTAATGAGGATTTGGAAACTGAAGGGGAAGAGAATTTCGAAGATGAGCCTGTGGAGGAAATAGTTGATAATGATTACGAAGGTTCTGAACATGAAGACAGGATCAATCGTCGTTCTGGAAAATCCATTAGACCCACTGTACAAATCAGACCGTTCATTAGACGAAGAATACGTCGACAGGCAAGTCAATTAAGATCATTGACTAATAGATTTAGAAGGCCGACTCAGTCAAGTTTGAAGTCTGAAGAAAAATCAGACGTGAGCGAGAACGTATCCAGCAAAGAAGAAATTTCAAAATCTAATTCCAAGCCTATTGCTCGTTACAATAATCGTGGAAGATCTCTAACAATATCCAGGTCTCCAACGAAGTCATCCAACAATCCTGAGAAAACATCAGCAGATTCTGCAGAATTGAATCAGAACAAGGCTAGAAATAGATCGAAACAGGGGAGTAACGGTGAAAGAAGCGCTTCCTCCAGGATAAAACCGACATCAACTTCTAGTAATGGTAGACAGTTTACACTAAGAGAGAAAGACGGAACTTCTTCTAGCAGATCGAATTACAAAAGACCCAATTCATCTATGTCTAGATCGAATGGAAGATCCAACAACAATAATGTAAGGTCTCCACGATTGCGAAATGGTTCGAATAAATCCTCAGAATCAACTAGTACGAGACGCGTACCTCCTTCTAGTCGCAGTTCTTCGAGAACTCCCAATAGAAACAGTAATAGAAGAGGTTCTTCCAGTAGAACAAGAGGATCTCTGGAGGATATCAGAGAAGCTCCCACCGTGTATCCAGACTTTGACGGTACCATTACGGTCACCCATTACGTGCCCACTGAAGTCACAATCCCCGTGGTCAACAATGGTATTACAGAGCACAGGAATATCATTACCGCGCAACCTAGTACCGAAGTCCTAAGTCCATCTCAATACAGTACAGTGACAGGTGGAGACGGCAAACCATTAATGGTGATTGTTAGTGAGATAACCGGTACAAATCCTCAAGGTCAGACCGAGATAACCCGATTTTTGCTTCACGAGACGCCGACCACTCGTGTCTCCTACACGTTGACCACCCTAGGTGGTCGAAGGGCCTCACAATCAGTAATTGTGCCCTCGACTGTCTATTCCGTAGAAAATGTGGTATCCACGGTACAACCTACTCTCCCTGGAAATGCTCCTCTAGCAAACATTCTTCTATCGCAATTACTTCTCGGTCAGTTAGGCCAGGCGAATCCCTTACTTCAACCCCAAGGTACACCATCCACACAATACAATACTCGTACTACCTCGTATGTGACTACCATTACCAAACAACAGAGTACTGTGATCCCGCTCACTTTTCGTGGCAAGGAAATCCTTACGACTCTGGTGGACACTTCGACGGACATAGTGACCGCGACAGAATTCATCACAGACACGGTAGTGGTCACACCTACGGCGGCTTTACCAGCTGCGAATTTGAACTCGTTGTTATTGTTGCTCCAGCAGCCCCAGCCCCAGAAAACAAATCCTCTATTGGACCCTCTGTTCGCTGCCCCTCCATTCACCCAGAGCAACACTTTGCCCGGTGAAGTCGAGAGAAGGCATCAGCCAGCTGATTCAGATTACAAACACGATAGCTATGAATATTCTGACGAGGAGGAAGATGTTCAAGAGTATCAAAAGTCGTCCAGAACGAGGAATAGCCGGGGCAAATCGAACGATAGAAAAGAGGATAGCGCACCTAGAGAAGAGTCCAGTGTGGTAACGTTGTACGTATCCGGTAGAAGGCCAGGGGAGTTCAGCACTGTTTTGAGCACCGTGAAAGTGACCGACACAGCCAGCTCATCCCGAAAACGACGAAATATCAGCAATGATTTGATCGTTGAAGTACGACCATCTATCCCGCCCTCGTTGCACGAAGGATTGGAGGAGATCACCGTCCTGGCGGGAAGCGAGGACTCGCTGGACACACACGCGCCGACACAAAGTCTCGAGAGCGTAGTGGGTGACGTCGGACGGCACATTTCCACGTCTATCCACACCTAACATCCAGACGTACACATGTCGTTAGATAATCCTTCCTCTCTTCTGTCCTTAACTATCATCATTCAATAATGTCCATCACGAAATCTATCACGAAAAAAACCCACCTAGACCGAAGCTGATGACCTTTCCCTGGCTTGTTTATGCTCGCGTATTGCAACGAATTCTAAGATAATATACGTCTCGCGTACAGATCGAATTCTTACGAAGATTTGTTCTTCGTTCGTGGAAATGCCTTAAGAAATTTTTTCCTCTTAGAGGAAAAGCCTTAAGAAAAGCTCGCAGCTTCGGTTGATCGAAAAAACCCATCTCGCTCTCTTCACGTCCATCTCACGTCCTGTTCGCATTCCCAGTCTTTCTTTTCTTCATCTCTTTCCTGATTCTTTCCACTTGTAGCTCTTTCCTCTCCATCTCATTAACATAGCCTCGAATCCGCCGCCGCACGCGCGCCCACACGCGACAAGTTCTCACATGCGACGCATGGTACTTCTTTTGTCTATGGTTGTTTGTTGGACAACGGATCGCGCCGGCAGATATAGGTCGATAACAATACCCTGTTCTACTAAGTGCACGAAATCGAACGAATAAGGAATGTGTTTGACAATGTCTTTATTTAACCCTTGGATGACCTGGCCTAACATTCGAGACGACTCGATATATCCTTTTGCCTGTTGCTCACGATTGTCCTAGCTGTAACTCATATACACGCGCGCGCACACACACACACATACACACACACATACACACACACACACATGTATCTTTGAATATATTCAATGTATGCGATGGCGAGGATCAATGCGTGCACGCAAGCGAGAAAACGTCGTCTTTTCAGATGACTTCTACCCCGACAACTACTACCTACTAACGAGCGATGTCGATAGCAAACGCATGTGGTTGCCTGAAGAGAATTCTAGGACTGTGACTTCGTTTGACGAGGACTATCTCGAAAAAACGCCCAGAAAACGCGTGAGAATTCGCGTTCCTGTCGTTAGAAAGAATGGAAGACAGCATAAATTGACGGTTGTCAGACGGAGACCTATTACCTCCAAAGTGGAAGAACCTCCGTTGACCGTGACTAGTCATATCCCGAGAAGAATAGTGGTGACACGAGTGAGGACTTTGGGATTGGCTAATTCCATTTACAGCGATTTGGAGACTGATAGTTTCAAACCGGAAATTGGAAAGCACAAAGTGACCATCACCAGACGTAGGAAAATTGGATCGACTACAGTTACGCCTACTAGTACTGAAAAGAGAGTCAAGATTACTAGGAGGAAATTGATTGCTGTTAGACCGGTACAACCTACACCTAGTTTCGCAATTATCACGACTGGATTCTTCACTGCCCCATCGTCTGAATACGATGAAGAATATTTCGAGGAAGATAATGACGAGGAAATGGAAAACAAGGAGGATGTTACTTCTACAGTCACGCCTGAATTGAAGGAACCGCCTAATGTCATCGATAGTAAACCTGACGAGATTGAGATTGAAAGTAAAACAGAAGAGATTGAGCCGAAAGTTGTCGATGAAAGTATTATGGGTTCATCGGTTATTATCACTGATAATTTCTTCTTTCCTCCATCTGATGATGAAGATGAAGATGAATATGAAGAAGAATATATGGATACGACAACTGAGGAGGAAAATGCAAATGAAGAAATTTCAATGACGACTAAATCGACAAAAGACGAAGATGGAAATGTTTCGAATAGAGAGGACACATTAACCATATTTATGACTCCTATGATTTATGATCTACCCAAGAAAAAAGAAACTGCGTTGGAAAAATCTGAAGAAACGTCATATAATGTTGCTGATCATGAAACAAGTACGATATCTGTTGATTCGAAACAAGAAGAGAAGTCTGAAGAAGTTTTGACGACTGTAAAATCGACAAAAGATAAAGAAATAATAACCACAACGCAAGAAAGTTTTGAAGAGACATTGGAAGAAAATGTTCCAACCACTTATCCTGATATTAAAGAAGACGATGAGAAAGAATATAAAAAAGAAAAAGAATATGCAACGACAGTGGAGACGATAGAAACCACAGTACCAATGGAGGAAACTACAGTAATCACTGTTCCTGAAGAAAAAACAGAGACTGTAATAGTTTCTGATAGAGAAACTACAACAATTGCTGAGGAAGAAGAAAAAATTAATAACACCGAACATCCTATATCATCTACTGAAACTAGTTTTCAAGATTCTTCATCAGAAAATAAAGAGTCACAGAAAAAAGATATCGAATACCAAGTTACAACTATTGCAATTGATTTTGAAAATAGTTCACCTAAAAATCGTGAAGGTTCTCTTGAAAAATATCTAGAACCCAATACTACATTAATTGAAACTGATGATTCGGAAAAGAAATCTTTATTTAAAAACACAGAAGATTCCCTCAAAAAAGACATCGAATCTCATGTTACGGTAACTCAAATCGAATCCAAAGATTTTTCCCAAATTGATACTGAAGATTACCAGGAAAAGGATATAAAAACTCAAATCACAAAGGTTCAAATAGAACCCGAAACCTTAAAAGAACCTACCGAAGATCCCAATAAAGAGACTCAATCTCTCTCAATCGATAATCACCCTATTATAATAACTATTTCGAGTTCTAAATTAGAAACTGAAAGATCCTTTTCCCCTCCAGATACGATAGATTTCATCCTTAAAAAGATGTCACAAACTACAATAAATTCTGAAGAGAAAGAAGATAATCTGACAGTACAACCCATAGAACCAATTACGGAATTCACTTCTTCGACATTTTTCATTGACGTATCTCCCAGTTTCGCAAGTGTCCTACCTTTAGAAACATCCCAATCACTCGACTCCAACACTCTTAGCTACTTGGATGACTCCGAAATCCCAAGCGTGATCCCCCTTGGTGTCGAGTATATGTCTGACTCAAAGAGTACTTCCGTGATATTCGAGGCAACACCTAGCATTGAGGGTACAGTGACGACATCTATTTCGTCGCCAACCCCCGAGGAAATCGAGGCAGGATTGGCAGACGACTTGTATTTATCCCTGTCGAGGCCAGACTTTCCCAAGATTCTGCCGTCGAAACCGATGGAGCACGTGACCAGATCCGAAACCCCGGATTTAGAACCGAGTACGAGCATTTACTATACCGAGACAGTGGTTACATCGACACGACTGAGAACGTATACTTATGTGGTGACGCAACTAAACGGACTGGAGACGAAAGTGACATCCTCGACGACTGTCCGACCGAGAGTGACGACCCTTACGTTGACAGTGCCCGTCACGGTGACCGTCACTCCTACCGTGGAGTCGTCAGCGTACTCAGTTTCGTCTGTGTATAGCCCGGTACCCGTTGCTGGTGAGTAGCTACAACTAGCTCTGCGATAAGCCTTTTCTATCATGATCATCAGGTGTTCTGAAGTGGTTGTCAGTTTTTAAAACTTTCGAATTTTTCTTTTTCAAAATTCTTCAAAATCTTGTTAAGGGGATCTCTTTGGTATTTCTTTTTTAAAATAATTAATTGCTAATTATATAAAGAAATTTCATTCAAATTTGAAAATTTGTGAAGTGATAATTGAAAATAATAATTTTCTCAATTCTAAAAGTATTGATGTGAATTCATAAAAATTCATGAAATGATATTTAAAAATAAAGATTGTTGAAATTAGTAACTTTTCTGAAAATATTTTTAAAAAAATTTATAGTTTATATAATGAAAATCATGAAATCGTGTGATTAGTGTAGTGATTAGTTCAGAACACTAGATGATTGTTGTAAAAAATAATATTCTTCTTTAGACTAATAATATCTCTTCTCTAGCGTGATTACCATGCTTGAGATGTACAGACTGTTCCTTCGAATTTCACTTCAATTGGCTTATAGCGGTCTAAATTGTTTTCTGTACAATAGACACTTTGAGTAAACTGTACATAACTGTAAATGAATTCTGATATCTTGTACATACTCAATCTCTTATTATTCATTATATTTCTATAGTCTATTCTGTATATTTTTGTTTCTTGATTATTTGAAAAACTATTTTTTAACCATATACAGTGACCTACTATATTATGACTTACTAGTATCTACGTTCTGACGTCTAAATAATTATTTCCAGCATATTTCTTATGTATCATTATTCAGGCGTATTTACAAATACTATAAATATTTTGAATTATTTCATTTTTATTTCAGATATACTTATTTAAAAAGAATAAATAACTTTATATAATTTGATATTGTTAAAATATAAATATGGTAATCGTTTGTGATTGTAATTGTTTTATCGAAATTATAACGACAGGAGAACAAGAAGGGAAAGATGAAGAAGGTCGAAGATTTAACTTGGCAACTCGTGTCATGTCGAATGGAGTTGAAGTGATTGTGGCAGGACCAACACCGGCTCTACGATGGGAAAACTCGATTCCTCAGCCTACGCTGACATTGTCTGATGCGGTTGTCATGATGCTTCCACAAGATAAACCGAATGAATTTGTCACAAAGACATGCACAACTACCTTCACGTATCTTACAACCATTACGAAGGATGGAACGACTATCGTGTCGACGGAGCAACAGGTAAAGTATAATAAGAATAATCTTTTTTTATTATGTATGTCACGTTTCTTTCCTGTTTTTAAGCCTGAATTTCTCTTTAACTTCTTCTGCCTTTTCATTTTTTATTCAACTCTGGTTCGTTCAACCTGAATCTTAAGTTATTCTTTCATATTTCAAATATGAACATGAATTTGTTTTTTTTTATATTTTTAATTTTTTTATATCTTTTTAATTTTCTTGATTTTTTGAATACAGATATTTTTACTTGTGTTTTCAAATTTTCTTATATTTATATTTTTATATTCAAGAATTTATTCGCCTTTAGGTAATATTTTTATTTTATAATTTTATTTCTATATATATCTTTTTTATTATCTTCCTTAACTATATTATTGAAAAGATATTAAGAAATTCAGAAGTTTAATGGATAAAAAACATATATTAAATATATTTTTATTTTTTTATGTCATTTCATTTGTTCATTTCATTTTAATCTTTTAAAATATTATATATATTTTATTACTTAAAATTATTATTATCATAAATATATTTATGATAATAATATAATGAAGTAAATTATTATAAATATATAATATATTTTTATAAATATATTATTCTCATTTATGATACTTAGAATATAAATGAATATAATATATAATATATATTATGTTATATTGTATTCATATATATAATACTAGTATTATTTTTTAGTTTTTAAACTCAAAATATTTTTCATTTTTTTCTTTGGAAATATTGCAATGTTTATATGTCATTATCGATAAAAATAAAATTTCTTTCAATTTGTTTTTTTAAACTTATAAAAATATGGCATGTCTTTCTTTCTCAAGCTCTCTCCTAGTTTAATCTTCTTAAACTTCAATATTAATTAATACAATATTTTTAAAATATTTTTATTTAATAATTTAAATACATTTTATATAATTCTATTTTACAAATAATAAATATATTAAATCTCATATAATCATATAGAATTTTATAAAATTTATTAAATTCTTATAATATATTTTTTCAGGTAATAGCAAATACGGCAACTGAAGAACGTCACAGGAAGCCTGGATCAGAAACTGCAGCGGTAACATTAGAAGCGTCTCCAACATTACGCACAGAAGTATTCAAAACCACTTACACCTATCTAACACTAAATACTGATCATTCGGACATAAATGATGCTTTGGAAAGCAGTACTAAAGTAATTACAAATACGGTTACCGCTCCTCAACATTATCTGGACATGATTCTCGAGCCATCGGAAGCGCCACGACCGGAAACAAACACATATCTCAGCACCAGGATGCTGGAAAAGACTTTCATGGAGGATGGACGTACTAAAATAGAAACTACCAGTGATACTATTACTCAGGTTCGCGTTAATGCGATGATTGTATGAGATTTAATATATTTATTATTTGTAAAATAGAATTAAATTATTTTTTCGATGTAATTATATTTCAATTGACTTAACTTTTAATTAGAATTAAAATTTAAAATATTTGTAATTTCATTAAAAATGATATTAATTCATAAAACATAATATAATCAATTAAAAATCGATATTAATTAGTTATTGATATTAATAGAGTTAAGAATTATTGATATTAAATGAAATCACCATAATACAGATAATTGACAGATAAAAAATAGATAATTACAAATAATCAACTTTTATAGTTTTTTTACATTAAAAATTTCTATCATCTTTCTTATAATTATATTAAATCTTATTTAATATAAAAAAAATTTTATGAAAAAATATTATACATTCTTTTTTATATTTTAATTTATTTTATATTTTTCAATTAAATTTTCTTATTTTCATTTATAGTGTTATCAAATTAAAGTTTTTTTCATTTCCATCATCTTTTATTTTTTTCTATAAAAAAATTTTCTTATGTCGATATTTTTTTATTTTCTATTTTTTATTTAATATAAAAAAATTTTTATTAAAAATACTATTACTATAGTTTTTAAAGATAAACCAATCATGTTTTGATAGATGAATAGATTGACTGGTAACATTTAATTTTCAGCTCATAGTAACAGAATCTGCACCACCTCCTCGTCCAACCAGTGTCACGACTACGTTAATAGCGTTAGATAGTACGGAGGAAAACATGACAGACGTCATGAAGACTTATTACATTACCTATACTTATTACAATACCTTCCTAGAGAAAGGGAGCACAGTGGTTCGCACGAACGTGGCGACGTCGACTGATGTTGTGTTGGAGAAAGTGCCTGTCAAGAAAACCACAAAGACAGCCATGGTGAATCCTACTCCGGAACCTATTCAAATCTTTGCGACGAAAACGTATCTAACCACGTTTACCTACTTTACGACGTTACTTCAGGTAAGTCGGTTAATTAAGATATTAGAGATCGTGAGTTTAATGTTTATTACAGTCATAAAATATAGTGGTTTCTATTTCAAAATTTAGATTTTACGCATAAATTTTTATGGAATAAATAGATTTTGTTGAAAAATAAAAAATTAAGAATTCATTTGTAAAGAGATTTATTAATAGGTTTTTACATTCATAGGAAAAATATTGTGATGCCATATCCTTTATGATAATATATTTCATCTATCAATTTTTTAAAATGTAATTGAATATTATTTATTGTTAAAGAGTATGAAAAAGTAAAAGAAACTTATTCCTTGAATGTTTCATTCTTTTAAGTTTTATGTCTACAACTGAATATTCAAGTATTCATATATTGTATATAAGTATACAGAATTTACTCTATTCTTAATATTTTCTTTACAAGTAATAAATTTCAAAAAAATGAACAAGTTTCTAAAATCTATATAATGATTAGAGTAAATTCTTTAAATTAACGATGATGATCATGAATTAAAAATATCATAATTAAATTAAATTATTTAAATATTATATATAAGATGAATCATTGAATTTTGAATTTACATTTATATGAATTCACTTTAGATTAAACTATTTGTTTAAAAAATATTTCAAACAAAAAATTTTTGAAAATATTGAAAAGAATATATAATTATTTTTTTATATATCGTTTTCCCATCAAGACAATAGATCATCAATAAATGAATTTTTCATTGTAACGTGTAATATTTGACTATATTTAAAAAAAATATTAAATGTCAATAATTTAAAAATAATAGAACAAAAAAAAATTATATAATTATAATATATATTTCACTTTTAATTTTTTTATGGAAATATTTTATTTAAAAATTATTTTTTTTAAGAAAAATATTACAAAATTATTTCATGTCGTTATTCTTTCAGCATCTTTATATCGATTCATGTTTAGCAATTTTATGATATTTAAAAACATAAAAAACTATTACAAAAAAGTATTGAGATATAAACTTTTGATAATTGGTTTCTATTGATTAGAGATTCTATTCTACTTGATTAGAGAGATAGAATTTAAACAAATCTTTTGACAAAACATCATATTCAAATGAAAAAATAACATTATGCCACAAGATACTTTATTCATATACCTAAAAAATGTCAAATGATAGATATTATTTTAAATTAGAAATTTTGAGAATTACATTTCCATTTGCTTTCAGGCGGGACCAGATGGAGAGACTTCCACAACAGTCTCTTCGAGATCACACATTGTAGAAAACGTGGTAACAGAATCGATAGCACCCAGTTTACTAGATGCTGGTTACATGAACGCTTTACTAACAACTGCACATCATTCTGATCCTGTGAAAAACGTGGTCACTGGTTCGACGATCATTTTCTTCGATGAGGAGGACCAGATTGATCCTACTACTAGCACCAACTTCCCAGAAGCCACCTCTTCAGTGGAAGTGCAGAAAGATGAAACGATTTCGTCTAGCTTCGTATCTACTGAACCATCTCCGGTTAACGAACCAAATCTGAAACCTACTGAACAAATTAATCAGGTAATCGAAAAACTTAATTAAAACACTTCACATCAATTAAAACAATTAAAAAATAAACAATTTTCAAATATTACAGGAATATTAATAAAATATTAAAGGAATATACTTAATAAGAGAAATTTAATATAAAAAGTAAATTAATCATTTTTCGTTCTAGGATACGTATTCCATAATGCAAATATTGTTAAATGTGTTAATTTAAATGTATGTATTGAAATTTGAATAATTAAATTTCGAATAATCGATGTTTTTCTTGTACATAATTAAAATTGTTACGATAAGATTTTAATTTGATTATATTTGAATTATAGGAGAGCAATGTAACAGTTTCCGCAGAATCTGGGCAGAACAAAAAGCCTGTCAATCAAAACACGAGTGATCTTCAAGTGAGCAATCTTCTGAGCTTAGGCTCGTTGGGAATCAATAGTTTGTCGGCTTTGGGACCAGTGATTACTGCAATGGCTGGCCTACTTCAGGGTAAAACCACAGCAACACGAAGGAATGATTCGATACCACAGGCGGAAACGCAGGAAATCACTACGCAAAGATCACCTATTTACATACCTGTCGCTGAGTTCGCTGATGGAGACATTGAAGCTGCTGAAAGTCAAAATATAGGTAATTTTTGTTATAAAACAAGAAAGATGGAATCGATTGATTCCAATTATTAAACACAATTCATTTATAATATGAAATTGATAAATAAGTTAGTGATTAGCGATTATAATTAAAAGTTTATTATTTATTTTTAATAAATAATTTATTTTTCATAATAAATATTCTTTTTTTTTAATAGTTCAAATTGATAATTGTTCCATTTAATTAAAAAGAAAAATTAATATGAAAATATTTCTTGGATATAATAATAAAAATAATATATATATAAATAATAAAAATTCTTTAAAATAATATAAAAATAATCTCAAAAAAAAATACTATCTAGAAACATTTTTCAAACAAAAATAAATAAATAAAATAATAATTATTTCATTGAAAGATATCAATCAATTTCATTCAATAGTTATTATCAATATAATAATAAAATAATAATAAAAATTCCCCAAGGTACACATCTGGCAAATCTCAACCACAATTACATCGCAGAGACACGTCATAAAGTTGCATCTAGCCTGGCAGATGGAATTCCAATTTCTCCAGGCGAAGTAATCACCGCGAATAGCGACGTAATCATCGGTAAACCAGGAAAAATGGCACCAAGACCGCCTCAAACATTCTTGGAGGACGAAGAGAACATAGGAATGAAACCACCACCATTACCAGTTCCCAACATTCCAGTCCATCCTGTTCTCGAAGTCCTGGAGAACAATCGGGATGATCAGCCTCAACAAACCCTTCAGAATCACAAAGGTTCACAGATAAAGATTTATCCTGCGCATCAGATTTACGAGGAACACTTGAAGATACCTATCTCTATGCCTATCGATACGAATCCTACATTGAAACAACCTCAAAAGTTGCTCCCAGTTCAACCGACTCCCCCAAAGAGAATTGGTTCGAAGCAAGATATGTTAGAGAACGATCCTTTGTTGAAGCCACCCGATAGACCTAACGTGGAACAATATGCGAATCCGAATACGAATCTAAAGGAACCGGAATGGAGTCCTGATAAGACAAGGAGACCTTGGAGTGCTAAGGATCCCCTGAAGCTTCCTCCATCCCATCCTCAGTTTGATCAGGTATGCACACTTTTTTAATTTTTAATTTTTATTTATTAATATTGTAATATTGTAATAATATTGTTTCTTTTAATGTATATTATTATCGTATTATATTTTATTATGACGATGTGGTTTACATTAAGTTTTAGAATTAAAACAATATTATGTGTAAAATAAGATTGGATATCTTTTAAGTAAAAATTATTACTTAAAATTAAAACAAAAGATAAATTTACTTAAAATAAGTATAGTCGCAAATAAATTTTAATGTTTTATGAAAAACGAATTATTTATCAAATGTATGATTATTTTGAATAATAATAAAAAATAATAAATAATAAGATAATTTATCTTTCCATTATTATGCAAGTAATAATATAATATAATATAAAATATAATAATACGATAAATAAATGAAATGAAAATTTAATTTAATTATTTGAATAATTGTTCATTTTATAATGTCTTATTCTATATCAAATAAAGAAGAATTCTATAATTAGATTTAGAATCTTTTTATTGTCTATTTTTAAGTTGCAAAATGTTTTATATTGAATTCTTAAAATTCTTAAAACTATAAAAGCTTTAACTTTCATATTGTAATTCGATTCAATTGATTTTAATTCAATTTATATAATTTGATTTATTATATTTCAAAATTATAAAAATTCAAATTTTTTAAAATACTACAAATTACAACTCTACATTATGATCTATTTCAGAAAATCGATTTGAGAAAGCCATCGATAGATAAACTTTGGCCAACCGTTCCATCCGAAGAACAAAAGCGACCACCATGGGCCCAGAAAGACCCTTTGCTTCCTGAAACTTCAATTGTCATTCAAACTTCGGAATCCAAACCAACACCAGCAGAGCCCATAGTTCATCAAGTACCACACGTCATTGACAGATCAACGGGGCAACCTTTGTTGGTTAATATCCAACCCAGTCAGGTGGCTAATGTGGTAATTCCTCAAGGTGGCACTCAAGCATTGATATTCGGTGACACGAGCGAACCTCACATCAGTGGACAATATTTCGACGATCCATCACCCTATCCTGAATCAGAAGTTGGTTTGGGTTTCCTTGGAATTCAAAGGGTAAGCGGACATATAATTTTCAAAAATTCAAAAATTTTTTAAACAAATTCGGAAATTAAACATATGACTTAAATTTCGTGTAATATATATATCTGAACTTGAAAAAATTCTTGCCATTCAAATCAAAAATGATTTTATTGCATTATTAGGAATAGGATAATTATAGATGTTTATACAAAAAATGAACGATAATATTAATGAAATGATATTATTATTATTACATTGTAAAATTTATATTTATATAGAAATACTAATTCTCAATTCTTTTATAATAAAAAAATTAATAGAAATTATATCAATATTATCATATAGATGTTACTATATTCGTAGAATATCTTTAGAGAGTGGATTCTAGAAAGTAAAACAAATATAAAAAATATACAAGAATGTCGGTTAAGACTTAACTATTAAATTACACTTCTATTATACTTATAAATTATATAAATTACATTTCATATTAACTTCACATTAATTCAAACAAATTCATGTTAAATGAGAGCAATATGAAAACAGAGTGCGATGGAGACAAAATGATCTTTCCTTCTCGTTTCATTAATGTAAATTTTAATTATTTATATTAAATAATTCGACATTTTTACATATTGACATTATTTGTTTCAATTTTTAAATTAAATTAAATCAATCAAATATATTAATATTCTAAATATTTATATAGAATAATGCACAATTTCTTTATAATTAAAAAATCAATAAAAATTATATCAATATTATCGTTTACATGTTATATCATTATCAATAAAATAAAAAAAACTTTTTAATAATAAATGGAAAATTTTATTGTAAATTTTTAATATCAATGTATTTTAATTTTTAAAAATATATAGATATAACTTTTACAAGTATAACTTTCATTTAACTTTCATTAAAAAATCTAATAATTTACAATTTGAATGAAAATATAAAATTCCAAATATTCTTATAGGTAGAAGATATACCCCAATATATCAATGGAAAAGATCCAGCAGATTATATGGTACCACCATCGCCACCACTCAACTTCAAGACGTTATCCGAGAAACATCCTTCCAATCGTCCAGCAACCATTCCTTTATCATCAACTCATTTCGATTATGAAAGACCGCAAGATAAATTAGAAGTATCCTTGATCAGGCCAGAAAAAAAGCCATCCGACGTGCATTTGATCAAACATCCCGACAATTCGGGTATCCTTGGTGGCCAAAGTCACGTGCACACAGAAATCCTGGTTCATCACAGACCGGAAACCGTAAACGTTCGACCTCAAAACATTCCTCATCCTGCTATCCATCCTCACGTACATTCAAACAATCATTTACCGCCACGAGGACAATATTCAAAAATTCCAAAACCTGTAGAGCTCGGAACGCCGCCTCGAAGAACGGAAATGTCAAATCCATCAGACAATTCGCATCGATACATTTTGTTGGCTAAGCCAGACTCAGGAAACGAAATCATCTTGAATTCCAATTGGAAATCGGACAAGAAACCACCAAGAATTCTGATGAATAACAGGTTGAGACCACGTCTACCATTGAGATCGACAACCAGTTATCCTCCTCTGGATAGGCCGATTTACCCGGAAAGGCCTGGCATCAGGAAACCAGTTTATAGCGGATCTCAGAGGCTTCCGACGAAGGCGCAGAACGCGAACACATTTGTGCTTCCTCATCGTCCTATCACCAATTCTCAAATTCATCACGAACCACCTAGAATGACAACTTCCATGTCTGGAGAATTGATAAGGGATGTAGTGACTGAGAGGCAGCCTTCGTTTGAGGCTCGTCCTCAGGTAAAATGAAACTTTTATTTATAGTTCTTTAATTTTTATATTTTAATTTTATTTATATTTTTATTTCTAATTTTTCTATTTTTTTTTAGCAGACAGATCTTCAAAATAGGCCATCCCACTTTTACCCTGAAAAGAGACCAACGAGCATAGAGCAGATGAAGCCACAAACCGAAAGAACAGAGGAATATGTGCCCACTGGAGCGGTTGAGTATCACAATCCTTTGAATCTCAAGATAAAGCAAAATGACAAACCAGTTATATCAAGCATTCAAACGCAGAATTTCAATCAGGCTTCATCTAATCAGGACGTCAAGTCTGAGAGCCAAGAAACCTGGTACAGTGGTACGGAGAAGACATTGGATTCAGAAAGTGGTGCTTCTGAACCGGTCAAATATCATAATCAGGTGAAAAAAGTTGAAAAATATGATAAAACGAAAGATGATACGTCTTTGATTAACGATCACAGTAACGATACATCATCAAACAAGAATTCTTATGTAGCCTCTGATAATATGATGATAGGAAAAGTTGGTGAAATCGATTCTCAGCAAAATCAAAAGGAAAAACCTATTTGGATTAATTCAGGAGTTCCATTTGCGCATAAAAACGAAGGCGTATCGATTCAAACACAGTATGGACCTAATTACTATAATGCCAAACCTCATGAAACGCCAATAGTTCAAGGAAAACCATTTGGTGTGTATACTGGACACGAAGAGTCAAATTATGATTACAAATGGAAAGAAACATCTGAATACGACATAGTTCAGGGTGTACCATCGACATACTATGGAAATAAAATGCTGCAAATCAATTACAAGAATGAACAAACGTCTACTCCATTTAATCGTGAACAAGAGGATACTATAGATCTAAAGCCACCAGCAATCATTCCGCAATTCGTTCCCGAATTGGACAAACCTAACAGACCATATTCACGACCAACTATTATAAATAAAGTGGAAATCAGACCTGTGTTATATTCCAAGCCAGAGATCATCGGTCAAACCTCAGAAGTTAGACCAGATTATGTGAACCGGCCTAATGAAAGTAAACTAGATACCTCAGAACAACAACTTGGGAACAACAGTTTGAGCTATTCAGGAAAATTAAATCAGAGCCACTTTCAATTAGGTGGTTTTATGGATCTTAATTGGGAGAATGAAATGAAAACAGGCGATAAAAGACAAGAGATTCTGGTCAACAGAAGCGAAATTATGAAGAATCATTATAGAAACAACTCCATTTCTTATCAAATAGAAAGTCAGTATTCTCAGACGAACATTAACCCTGTCAAATTAGAAAAGAATCATGCTGTGATAATTAAACAGGATTATAGTTCAGCAACTAAGATTCATCCAGAGTATCCTCATATAGTTACCAAACCTAAACCTCAAGTACCTAACCCAATCACTATTTCAACAGCTAATAACAAACCTGACACTCGACCAAACATTAGATTTTCCCTACCTGTGGAGGCAATTGGCGAAGAAGTGGATAGTAAAACACAAACTGAACGACCGCCAAGCATGCTGATCACAACGAATAATTCCGGTGACAAGAAAAAGAACATAGAGAAGATAGATACTTCCTATCAGACGAATTTTGCGACCCAAGATGCAAACGAAGATGATTCCATGAATCATGAGAATAAGATTCGAATAAAGTCTATTGAAACGTCCACTGGAGACATATTGACTAATATGGAAGGAATGAACGTACCTTCTAGAGATATGATGCCCCCACCATTAAGACCTGTGATTGACCTCAATCAATTAAATAAAAACGAAGAGGAAGATTTGAAACCACCACCCATACCTTCGAGAGATGTTGTCGGTTTGTCACCTCCACCGGTTGATATTACTACAACAAATAACCCTACGGAAGATAGATTCTCATTCGTTACTGCTAATGAATCTGGGTTGAAGCCTCCTCCTAAGTATATTCCTCTGAAGGAATCTTCTGTTGCACCTTTGCCCAGTATTAGCATGGTTCCTCCTAGCCCAAGACCATCTCTTACTAGGCCTTTCATCGTGGAATTGTTGTCTCAGGTAAATTTATTATATTAATTTATTAGATTAAACAAAATTTTGAAAATTTTTTAAAATTTTATTAAAAGTTTCAGGCCATTTCAGCTAGCTTTATTAAAAACTATTATATATGTTATAGCATACGAAATTTATGCTGTAAAATATGCGAATATGTGTAAAAAATATGCGTATATGTATATATACAAATAGATATATTACATATAATATTTATATACATATAATACTTACATATAATATTATATACATATATACATTATTTATATTGGGTATTTAATAATTTTGTTTTAATTAATAATTGACATTACAATAAATCACAAATAATTTCTTCATATTTATTGAAATATTTATTTAAATATTTACATTTGTTAGTTAATATTAATTTATACTGAAAATGACCATTCTGATATCATAAGATGTAGAAGTATTAAAGACGTGATCTGATTTTTCCGTATTACCATTTACATTTGCGATTATATACATATAATTTAGATATATTCTTTTTTAGAATTTATTTTTTTTTTTTTACATTAGTTTATTATTAGAAATATTACAATTATTAGAAATATTTTGTAAATGATAATAATAATACAATTTATATGAATATTTCTATGGAATCTATTAAGAGTAAACTGATTGTAATAATATTTATAAATGTATTTTAATGTTACATTTTGAACAATTTGAGTTTATTGAAAATGTTATGACATTAATATCTTAATCAAATACGAATGAAATATGAAAATCTAATTGAAATATTTAACATATGCATATACTTATTTTGACTAATTGTAATATGTATAAAATAATAATAATAATATCAAAATATGTTTTTGTATAAAAATCTAGTTTGTACTCTGAGATTTCTTTGAAATTTGAAATTTAGATTTAATGATTTACATATGACAATTAAAATGATACAAATAATTTTGAACACAATCGATATCTTAAACATTTCAAATGATTTATTATAAGTTTTATGCTTTTCAGGACATGGTACCTCCACCACCAGTAACTCAGACAACGAGACCACTCGAAATAGCCACCGTGAGACCAGCGGTAGCGGTATCTGGATCGATTCAAATCGCGACAGCTGTCGCAACATCTCACATACCAGTGGTCCAAGATATCGAATCGAAGATACCTATCATACACGGCACTGTTGATCTTCCAGTAGTCATAGACGTGCCTGAAATACTTAGACCAATTGAAACTAGGAAGACGGAGCATGTTAGCGTATACACAGTGCGACCATTCGACACCAGACCTGTATCTAGGTATTCAAAAATATTTTTTCAACTAATATATCGTCAATTTTGAATTTTCAATATATATTATTGTGATATATGATGAAACCTTGCAGAATATCAGTGCAACCAACAGCGATGTTAACCACGAACTTAGTAATCCCAACGAAGTTAAGACCAGTCCAAGTAGATCACATACAACCAAGTAAATTGTCTTCTACTAGGGAGTTGGAACCAACTCGATCTCACAATATCGATATTCCACGAAATCCAGTGAAACGACCAGAGCATCCAGTATTTTTGGAGTCTAGTTACGATATCGTTTTACCATCATCGAAGGTGGAAGCTACGGAGAGTTTGATTCATATGATAAGCACGAGTCAGAAGAAAGAGTCGCGATCCACTCTGACGAAGAACGAAGTTTCCAAGGTAATCGTTTCACCGATGACGGAAATTAAACGAAAGAACGAGACAGTTTTGAAGAAATTGCCAAGTGTGGTCACCAGAATCGATAGCTCGATAACAAAAGTGACGAACACATTGTTGGAAAACATCGACAGAAGAAACGAATCGGTGATCAAGATGACGAAGAGTGTCAGCAATACACGAAAAGTTGCTAATGAGACAACGACGACTATGCGTATAAAGCCTAAAGAGGTGAGAGATATATTAATTCAAATAGAAGTTAAGATAAAATTATTAGATATTTTAAAATCATTTCGATATTCGTTGTTAAAATTGATGTTCAGAAATCAACTATTTTTTAATTTTCATATAATTTTTAAATAAATTAGTTCTCTTGATAGAATAACGATATTCTTCAATAAAAAATATAGATCTGGAATTATAAATTAAAATTATAAACTTTAATCTAAGTGAAGCTGTTAATGTTTTACTAATTATTTGAAAATCGAATTATAATAAATATAAATATTATAGTATTCAAAAATTTATAGTAGTAATAATTATAGGTTATAAATATATTATAAATAAATAATATATTGTAATAAATCTATAATAGTAAAAAAGGAAATATAATGTTAAGTAATAGATTTTTCTTAAAAAATTTAGAAAGTTAGTTTGACGAAATTAAAAAACAAATTTTTATAGGAAAAAAATGAATTATAAAAAAATTACGCTTCAATCGTCGTTACAATCCTTTATCATACAGGTGACACGATTCCAGACATCAACGGTAACGAGAACGGAAACATCTGTATTGGGTTCACCACCTACAACTCGAACATTACTACTTACCCACACGTTGACATCAACCACAGTGGAAACGGTGACGGAAACGTTATTACGTCCAACTAGCGTGGTTTCTACAGTTACATCAACGATTTTGCAATCGGTGGTGACTAGAATACCATCATCCTACGAAAACGTTGTCGACAATGATTCCATCTTTGTAGTGATGAGCGACCAGAAACCACCGGCACCTGGTGCTGAAGAGGTAAATGTAAGAAATAAATTTTATTTATATAAATATTCTATATAAATATTCTTTTAATCTTAGTATTATATTTTTCTTAAATTGCAGAAATTAATTTATAATTATATATTTATATACGAATTAAAAAAACATATATTAAAATGTATATAATAATGTATATTATTTATAGAATTTTTATAAAAGACTCATATGAGAAATTCTAATAATTTCTGAAAAAAATATAAAAATTAATGCAAAAATATCATTGAAACTTTAATTTTGGTATTTTATTGAATTTTTCAATAAACAATTGAAATATGATGTACAAATTCATATCAGCACATAATAAATTATTATATTGTATTAAAATTTCTAATATGCAATATTTAATATATAAATAATATATTTATGTTAAATTAATTACATATTACGTTACATTAAGTTTTGTGAATTTTTAAATAATATGAGTATATGATCATCTTAAGTTTTGTGTTTCTAAGTTTTTACTTCCTATTGCAAAATTGCTTATAATATTTTTTTTCATATCAATTTTTTTTTGTTTCAATATTTAGAATCAATACTTCTAAAGTATCTTACATTTTTATACATATATTTTTCTGTATTATTTTTTTTATTTTTGCTTAAAATTTTAAATTTCGTATAAATACATAAACACAATGGTCTACTTATTATAGATTATTTATAGAAAATAATAATAATTTTTTTAGTTAATATGAATATTTTCTTAGGTGGAAGCTGAATATGGTGATATTTCAAGAGATGAACAAGATCCAGCTGGAAACGAAGTTCATAGAGTTCTAGCTGGTGGAATTCTTGGAGCACCAGTAGTATCTCTTCAACCTATCGTCAATCAATGTACTCCTGAATGTAGAGCCTCTAGGGCTGAAATATGTGCGGAAGTTGGAACTGAAATGAGATGCATTTGTCGACCAGGTTTTGCGAGAATGTTCCCTGATCGACCTTGTAAACGTAAGTTCAAATTATTATTCAAGTTAATTTATTTTAAATTGATTAAGTTACGATTCACATATTAGTGGGAGATTTACATATTATGAGAGAGTATTAGAGAATCATTGAATTTGCAAAGAAGAAATATAAACGAAATTAATAAGAAAATCCATTTTTAGAATACATTTCGAAATATTGACACCAAATTTTGTTACCAGAAAGACAGCAGATTTGATACATGATTATAACAGAATTTTTTAACAGACTAATTGCAGAAATATAACAGATCTCTTTAAAGACAAATTCGTGCCAGAAACGTTCTATTTTATTTCTATTCATATAATTGAGTATAAATTGGCGACAGAATGCATTGCATTGTTTAGATTTTCACGATAGAAATGAAACATTTTTGATATTTCATTGTCAATTTATTACCTGATTTGATCTGGTGATTTGATCAACAAAATTTGATGACAGAACAAATGAAGAATACGAATGGATACGGTTTTGTTTTTTCTTATACTTATTTGACTTCAATCTACTATCAATTTCTAAATTTCTTTAAATTTAATTTTCCTTTTTAATCTATGATTATAGCCACTTATACCTACACATTACGAGTTGGATTGGATCGAATCGGACACGAGCCAGTGATTTACGAAGTCAGCATGAACGATTCGACGTCAACAGCTTTCAGAAAATTACTAGGCCCTACTAAAGACGCCTTAGACAGGACTTTAATGCAGAGTGATCTTAGAGACATCTATAGGGGACTAAAGATAGCTGGTTTCACACCTGATCCAACGAAAGTAGAATTCCACGTTCAACTCAGTGATAATGCTAATGAAACGAGGTTGAAGGAAGTACTTCGAAAATATCTGATTGGAAGTAACTATAGTTTAGGAGGCACTGAAGTCTTTGCTTCGAAAAATCTTGACATAGTAAGTATTCTTTTTCAAACAAAAAAAAGAGAGAGAATAAATCAATAAAAAGATTTAAATTCTTTGTAAACGATTTTCGAAAGTTTTTGCATTTTTATATTGTGAATATTTATGTATTTATAAAAAATTTAATTGTGTAAAATATTGAAAATAAAATATATATTATTTATAAGAAATAAAATTCATCTCTATTTAAATATAAATTTGATATATATTTATAAAAATTTCAATGCATAAATATTTGCATTCTACTTATCATACAAAACATTTTATAATTAGATATTAAAATGAAAATAAAAAAATTGTAAATTCAAATCATTAATAGATAAAAATTTTTTATTTCAGATTGAAGCAATCGATTTTAATGAATGCATAGCGGAAGATGGAGGACCTCATCATGATTGTTCGCCAAATGCAGCCTGTTTCAATCTACGAGGTTCTTATCAATGTTCTTGCAAAGAAGGTTGGGCAGATTTGTCTGAGAATCCTGCATATCCTGGAAGATTTTGCTCTCAGGCGCCATTAGGTTGTCCTAGTTGTAACAACAAAGGGCATTGCGTGACGAATACTAATGGTCAAGAAGTCTGCGAGTGCTTCCCTTGGCACAGTGGTCAGCGATGTCAAGTTAATCTCAAAGGTAAATTTATCTCTGCAAATCTTACAATAGTAACTAATCTTACAAAGCTAACAAAATTCTTATTTATGTAATTGAATTTATATATTTGTATTTTATTCGTTTCTTAATTTATTTCTTGCAATGTCTCAATATAGAAAATAAATAATTAAATTTGCACATTATTTTATTTAAAATAAAAAAAACTGCTAAATTACTTTAATTAATTGCTAAATTACTTCTGGACTAGAGAAAAAATTATATCGATTTTTAATTTAAAATTTTTTTTAAATATATGATATATTTAACATATGAATTTCATAAAATATTATATATCTATATTCTATTCTTATTAAAATTAATAAAAATTAAGCAATGATAACAATAGAATATAGATCATCATTTTTTTTCAATCAATTATATTATATGAATTAAAGAAGATAAAAATACAACTATTCTTATGAAATATATATATATAATAATTCTTAAATTAATAAATTTCTTAAAAATTATTTATCAAATGAATCAATAAACTGTAGCTTATCAAATTTTGAATTATAAAATTAATCTCTGTTTATCAATAGATTATTATTATTATCATTTAAATGATAAAATTATGACATAAGTAAAAATTTTTATATTTTAGAATAATAATAACTATTTATAAAATTGTTAAAACGAGTTGAAAAAATTGATATACCATATATTTTTGCAAAATTTTAGAATGGATTTTTTCAATTATTGAGAATAAAATTGAATTATAAAATATCTGTTTTATTTTGAAAAAAATGTTATGAAAAAATGTTCTTAAAAAATTTATTTAATATAATTAATTTTTCTGTGAATATAGATATATAAAAATCATATGAAAGAAATCTTTACTTTTTTTAATAAAGCCTTTTTCTTTAATTTTTTCCATAATGCAGCTCGTTATTTCTTATGAAATCTAATTCTAAAATTCTAAAAAAAATTAAAAATATTAAATCATTTATATAGAAAAATCAATAGTTTAGAAAATGTGTAATATTATAATATTTTCAATATAAATAACGTAACTAATTTTTTTAAATAGTAATGAACTGATAAAAAATTATATGATTTTTATTTAAAAAATAAATATTACTTTCATATGTTTTATATATGTTTTATTATTTCTATGCATTTATTTATAGAAAATTTTTTAATATTGCATAATTTTTATATCAAACAATTTTTAGAAGAATATTTTTTTTTATAGTATTTATCTCAAAACGAATATTTCATATTCAGTCTATTTAGAAAAACGTATATTATTAATTAATAAATATATATGTATATTAATTTAATTATAAAACTTCGTAGACACAAATATTAATATATTTTTATCTTTAATTCAAAATATTAAAAATATAAAAAATAAAAAAATATATTTCATAAATACATTGTATATATATAACAACGAAATGTACCATCTATTTTTTTTTCTTTAAAATATTAAAATAAAAAGTAATAAGAAAATTTTATTTCATATTTTAAAAAGTACTGTAATATGATATTATACCATAAATCTGTTTGCAGTGTTACTGATAGCTCTGGTTACGACCGGTGCAATATTACTAGGCCTTTTGGCGGTATGCGTCGGCATGGCGTGTTTCCGTCAACCAAGTCGAAAACGAAGAACTGGCGACAGAAGGGCCATGATTCCTGGAACAGGCGGAGATACCAGTAGCGAGGGTAGCGTGACGGATTTAGCAATTCCACATCACGTGCCGCACGTTCTGCCACCACCTCCACAGATGATTGCACCCTTGCCACCGACCAAAAGACCTGCTCGAAAGATCAGCACGAAACCTAGACATCTGCCGAGAAAGGCTACCATGGTACCTGCATCAGGTAAATATTTTTCGAAATTTATTTTTTAATTATTTTTGATTAAAGAAAAGAATGAAATTATTTATTACGAAAATGAGGAATTAATAGGAAAAAAAAATTTATAAATTTTCTTATATTAAAAAATTTTAATAAATAAAGAAATTATTTATTACAAGAAAGTAAAGGATTATAAATTAATAATTAATTAATATACAAAAAAAATTTTGATTAGAAATCTTAAATTACATTATAATAACAAATGAAGCTTCTCAATTGTTATGAATAAGCATCATTTTTATTTATTTATATTTGTAAACTTTTGTTATTGATTATCCAAATTAATAAAATCTTATTTATTAATAGATATATTTGTTTTAATAAAGATATTTTAGTCTTATTTCGTTTAATCATGAAATTCCATTTCTAGGTTTGCTTGTATAATATTAAAACATTTTTATCGTATTGTTTAATTGTTTAAATCGCTATAGTGCCAGTGAACGACGAACAAAGAGATCGTTCGTTGACAGTGATGATCCCACGTGCCAAATATCGATCGGCGCCTCAATCTCCGCAGAATTACAAGTCCGGGTTAAGTACGTTCTCGACAGAAGAGCACAAGCTGCTCAACTATCTCGAGAACGGCACGCATAACACCGGAAACAGGAAGCAAAGTGTATCCAGCGCGAAGGATTGCAAGGAGGCTGATGTACAAATCGTCAGAGCGCCAGCTGCACCAACTGGAGCTCTTGTTAGCGCTGGTTTCCAGGTACTTTTTATCATTTACTGAATCAATTTTTTAATAATTTTTTATTTTTCTCCAAGAAATTGGTATTTATCAAAGTTTATTAAAATTCTAAAAATTTTCTCTTTGTTTTATTGTCATAATTATTAGAATTGATCAAGTATTGATTACGTTAATCAAATATTGAGTACGTTATAAAAAAAAGAAAAAAATAAAAATAAATAAATAAATAATGAAAAAAATATTAAATAACAATATTGAAAAATAAAATATATAATGTTATATAGACAATTTTGTTTCCAAAATTCACATGAATATGAATCAAAATATCTCATAATATTAACATAATTAGTTTAATAATATATACTTTTATATTTTTTACATTTTTTTCCATTATTATTATGTAATTTAATGTTAAAATTATCAAACAAAAATATTTTCACTTAAAATAGTAAAATAAATAGAACTTTTTGACATAAGTGATTTACTGATTTTTTTTTTTTTTTTAATAACTAGCTGTGATTTAAAAAAATTGTAGTTCTCTTCAAGAAAAGAAAATTGACATTTACACATTTCTTATAGTTTAATTTAACAAAAAAAAATCTCTTATAACATATCAAATAACGTACCCTTTCGAATTATTCGAACTATTGTCTAAAATATTTCTTAATATCTGTACATCGATATAATTTTTATATAAAAATATGTCTATATTTTTCCAGGTGTCTGCAACGGTAACTCGTCAAATGGACACCGATTCAACATTAGCTCGTTCCTGCGGCGAAACTACAATAGAAACAGCGACGAAAGTGTTGCGAACCGGGGATCTCCAAGGTGATTTGTGCTCTACGTTGGCTCGCTCCTGCGGCGAGACAACCATCCAAGCACCGACGAAGCTGCTGAGGCTCGATTTAGGCGAGGCTGGTTCGACTCTGGCCAGATCCTGCGGTGAAACAACGATTCAACCGCCGACGAAAGTCGCAGATACTAGAAGGAATAGCGTTAAGGACGCCAGAGATAACAGAGACACAAGAGACAGTGCCAGCGAAGGGCACACAATGGCGGAGAGGGATTTAGGAAGCACGCTGAGACTTCCGGCGCAGCATCCGCCTCTTTATAGCCCGGACAGAGTGAGTTAAGAACGAAATTTGAGCTATATTTTTCTCTTCAATTTTGTTCCTTGTTTCTTTTGTTTATGTATATGAATTATAAATGATCGTATAATTGAATAACTAATTGAAGATAATCAATATGAAACATTAAAAATGATATGATTAAAGTTTTTAAAAATATTAATGTATTAGATGTAGAAACACTTCGGATATTTTTAAAAACACAATATTTATTTATCGCAAAGGAATATATTTTTTTTATAAACTTCTAAAATGAATCTGTATTAGAAGTAATTGACAAGTAAAATCTGCGTATAATTGCAATATATTTCTTCATTTCTTCTATATCCTTCTATAATATAATATATTATATATAATATAAATAATTTTTCGTATGCAATACTACAAAAAAATTTATAATGTATACATGAAAATAATAATTTAATTTATTTGTTAACTGTACATTAATTTAGATTAAATTTAATTTATATGGATTATAAGTTAAATTTTACTTTTATTGAATAACTTCTAAATCGTCCAATAAATAGTTTCAATTTTCTTTTCTTTTTCACTTTTTTAGTTTGTAAAATAAATTTTTTATAATTCTTTCGTAATTAATAAATTTATATTTATCGATATTTTTTTTTTTTTGAATTCCAATTTTACATTTTTTCTTCCTTCTTATATCAATAAATCTTCAATTATTTTTTTTTTAATTTTAATTTGAAACAATTTTTTACGAATATCTAATTATGAAAAACAATTTTTTCAGACCAGCGATCGAGAATCAAACTTTGACTCTCTCTAGACACCTTATGCAATTAATAAAGGAAATCCGACGGAGGATTGTGGATGTAACCGCTGGCCGGTGGCTTCCACAAGTTCGCTAATCGAGCAAGTAAAATAAAAAGAAAAATCTTCTTCATCGACGCAACTGAATCGAAGAATCTTACAACTTTTAAACTATCCTGACAAATAATCCAAACAAATGAATCAGGAACTTTATATCTTTAATCCTCTCATTGGGAAGCTTTAATCGTCTATTTTATTAAATTAAAACGATATTTATTCAAAGGAAAGCGAAAAAAACATAAATATATATATATATATATATATGTATATATATATGTATGTATGTATATATATAAATAATTATATTTATGTAATTAATAACAAAATAACTCTTCTGGTATTACCAAAGTGATTTATATAAAAAGCAATATTAATTTTAATTTAAAAAAAAAAAGATAAATTTGTGAACAACGCTTTCCTCTATTTATTTATTATACTCGCATGATTTTTATATAACGTAACTTTTCAGTGAGCGCTCTCTTTGCTGTCGATGGGAAACAAATTATAATATTCATAACGCGAATATAATTTTATCAAATTCAAAGAGATGCGCTGGTTACTCATCCCCGTGCCAAAATACAACCAATGAATAGGAAGGCTCGCGAGGGAAATTGTTTCTCGCCTTTCCGATTATCGTTTTTATTTTTCTCTTCTCTCTCTCTCTCTCTCTCTCTCTCTCTCTCTCTCTCTCTCTCTCTCTCTCTCTTCTATTCTCATTTTTATATTTTTTTTTCCTCAATCGATCGCCCAGGACTCGAACGCAATATTTTAGAAGTTTGATTATCGTGGCGAGATATTCGCTATTATTATTTATTTATTATCAGTATTCGTAAAATTTCTTTTAGAATTATTTACTTATAAATAATAATATAAATAATCAATACAATCCTGTTTATAAGTAACTGGATACCATATTATTTTAAGAAGTTTAAGAAAATAGATTTATAATAAGATAATTGAAAAATATTACGTAATTTTTTTATGATATACTTACACATACAATAACTATCTATTTTATTTTGTAATTACAACGATTATTTATCCTTATTATAACATAATAAAGTATCCAGAAATTTATTGATAACGAAATTTTAAAATTTGATTATTAGCCTTCTGTAGTATCCTTGGATTCATTCTATTGATTTAAAATTTTTATTAGTATTCTAACCTTCAAAAAATTCTGAAAAAAGTTAGAATTATTAATAACTTTAAATAATAAATGATACGATAATTAAGATATTCAAAAATGAAATGTTACAAATGAAGCCAAGGATATCAGAAAGGATTTAATTTTCAAATACGATTAAAATAAATATGACAATGTTATTTCACGAATACGAATGAAAATGATAGTTCTCGAATAGCATAATCGAATTTTCTATAAGCGTTTCCATAGTCCTCGGCAAAACGCGAATCGACGCGTGATTCAACACAGTGTCATAAGTCATGCGAAGGGCGCGAATCGCCACGGAGGCGGACATTATTATTAATTGTTGTTATTGTTTGTTTGTTTAGTCTATTTTCTACCGGGTCGTGTCATGTTGCCCGGTTTCGTCAATTTATTAATTCATGACTTCGCGCGATAGATTCATCTTAATTATTTCATAATTTAATAACTATATGTAGAATTTTCATTGTATAAACTATGTTTTTCTATGAAATTATCCTTGATTGTATGGTAATCGAATCAAATCTGGAAAAGACTTTAGAGAACATAGTTTGTACCCAGAAACCTATAACGATATTAATTTCAATTTTAGGAAGCAAAATATTATTAAATAATTATACAATATGTAATATTTCTTTGTTTGGAGAAAAAAATTTACCGAATATCTTTTCTATACTTTCTATATTTATTTTTTAAAAATTTAAATAATCTAAAAGTAGTATTAATTTATAACTTCCTATAATTGAAATTTCATTTATTTAAAGAGAGAAAAATTTTTAATATCAAAATTAATTTTTTTTCTTAAAATGAAATCTGTAATCGTCGATTTTCAATGTGAAATTAATTTTGAAAACTATTTGTTTTAAATTTTATTACATCTTATAGAATTATTAATTAAATAATTTGATCTTTTTACTATTTTATTCTCAATCGATTCGTATATAAAGCTTTAGATAAAATTATATCATACCTCTTGGTTTGATAACTTTTAACGAAATTGTAAAATAAGAGATTATAATTGAAATTTTGATTTATAAGAACAATTTTATTTTACCACGATTTTGATTTTTTCTGATTTATATATTATTTTTTAATATTTTGATATTCTTTTCCAATTTATAGTTTTCTAGTTTTGTATAATCCATTGATTTTAATTATTTTCTACGATAGTCAATTAAACATGATCGACCTCAGGGGACAAAATGGCGGTGGTCAATTGGCATTCGAACGAATTGTGCTTGATGGTGACGAAGCCGCGGCAACGTCGCTAAATCAGACTCGAGGAAGAGCGAGCAGAACGTGTTGCATAACTTACATGCATTTAACTTGATTTTTATTTTGTTCAGCTCAATAAATAGAGTAAGCGGATCCATTAAGCGGAGGACAGGTGTATCATTAACGATAATACTTCTTACATATATATATATATATATATATACATATTTTTTTTTGTTAATTATTTCCCCTCAATGTCGTAAGATCGTGCGTTTTAACCAAATAAACTAATGAACGTCCGTGATCATAAACGAAGAAAACGAACGAACCTCGTATGTACCTTGTATTATCACACGAAACTTACTAATTTGTCCTTTTTCTATGTCCAAAATGAAATTACTCCTTTATACATTATACATACTGCATGTGTATGCATATAGAGATATTTGATTTATATATATTATATATAATATAAAATATAATATAATATATAATATGATAATAGGTATAAATATATTCTGTTGTACATATCATCTCCAAGAGAATCTCTTCTACTTAATTTTATTGTAATTTTTATATACTTAGTATCTTGTGTACTTATGTGTAATTTTAATAAAAGTGAATAATACTAATTGGTCGTTTTATTTAATTTTTTTGCTTAAGAAATTTATTAATATTTTATAATAGAAAATGAATTTGAAAATATATAATATATATAATATATATAATTTGAAAATATATAATATATAACATGTAAATATATATTATGTAACAAAATAATTCAAAGTAATTAATATATTTTTAATTAGTATATAATTATATTATATATTATATATTATATATTATATATATTATTATATATTATAATTATATATTATATATTATATATTTTATATTATATATTATATATAATATATAATATAATAATTAATATATATTAATTGATTTAATATTCAAATTAATGAATAAGGATCATCAGTAAAAAGTACTATTCAGAAGAGAATGAGCAAACATATATTTTTTTACATCTTATTTGAACGATTATTTTTTTTACTGTTATAATTTTTCAAAAATATGACAAGTTTTGAAATATTATTGAAATTTCTATTTTGTTATATAATCGTTCATTTAATTAAACGTTTGAAAGATTTATCAAGAATAAAAATTTGAAGTGATTTATTTGATTCAATGATATTTTGCAGTTATAAATTGTAGATTAATTAGATTAAGAATATATATATATATATATATCTACTTATAATAAGAATAAAAATATTTATATAAATATTCATATTTATATAAATATTCATATTTATATAAATATTCATATTTTTATTAACAAAACTATATTAATGAAATGAAAATATAAGTTTGTTTCATTTTTTTACATTAACAAGTAAGTACATATTTTATTTTAAATATTATTCTTATTTTTATTTATATTTTATTATATACATTATTTCAGATTTAATAAATAGTTCCGAAATATATAATAATTCATGAATATTCCTTATAAATAAAATTAACTATTAAAATATGCTATTAGATACTGTAATTATTATAAGATATGAAAATTTTTTAACCAAATATTTTGAAAGAGTGAAATGAATTCTTAATTTTGGTTTTCTTAAATAGATATATAATATATAAATATATTTATATAGATATATTATAATAATATATATAGATATATTATAATAATATATATAGATATATTATAATAATATATAAATATATTTTGCTAATAGTGGTTTAATATTTCACTCCAAATAATATTCCCTAGTAAAAATATGAAAGAATATATTGAATATTGAAATTTTGAAAAAAATTTTAAACAATTTTTCCATCAAAAAGAAATTATATCATTTATAATCTATTATATTTTACAACAGACTTTAAAATTATCTTAATATCTTTAAAATTAAAATTAAAATTTTCAGATTAGATAAATTTTCTTATAAGAACTGCTCTGTAAGACAATTAACAATTCATAATTTCACAAATTCTATATAATACTATAAACATTTAAGTATATAATTATTAACAAAATTTAAAGAACAAAATCAAAACCAATTTTGATAGCACTTTTATTTAAATAAATTTAAATAAAGAAAAAAATCTATGAAATTTCATCATCAATTTATTCCTTGAAAAAACCAACTTCATTTCCCTCTTACTATAATTTTCACAATACAATTATCACCGTCAATCTCGAAAAGCATCTCGAAAACCCTTCAAAGTTATCATGCTACGCCACTGTAACGAAAACAACTTGATTCTCGCGTGCACAAAAAGCGGGGACGTGCAGCGGTCCCCGTTTCTCGATTCGTCGCGGCGCGAGCCATGGCCTGCAAGGCTAAAACGAGGCTAATCCGCAAAACAAACCGATCCTGTCCAAGGGGACCGGAGTTCGGTGCCTCCATCTCGCGACGGGGCATTTTCGTGGGGCCCGCGGACGGTCGAACGCGACGAAAGGGCCAATTCGTCGAAGAGGCCCGGCGCGAACGACGACTACCGCAAATGACTTTATTTATACCGTCGCCCCTTATTAGGGACTCCCCGATCCGTAGCCGTGTAAGGTTGTCGGAAGGTAATTTCGCCGGTATCGGGGCCTTCTTTTGTCGGACGCGTGGTTTTTTGCGCCTGCCCCCACACCGGCCATCGGGCTGAAATTACTACCACGACCGAACAGGCGTGCAAGTTTTTCGAGACGAGCGTTACGTGAACACGGCCATACGTGCAACACGCGACTTGCGTCGCGATGCCGGTTGTTCGTTTCGTTGAAAAAGAAAGTCGAGGCG